ACGACATTAATCATTTCAGGATTTGAATCACACTCATCTAGTTCATTCAAATTGATGCCTAGACGGCGTATCCACGTCCGTCCAATTAAAGCAGAACACTCATCTGGAACGATATAAATATCATCATTTATTGTACTGTTTTTGAATTTAATATTGACCCGAACTTTTCCATCCGGAATGAATTTATTCTGCGTATAGGATCGGAAAACTATTTTTGTTGGAGTTATTTTGTCATCCATATTTAATTTTGCGAATTGGCTTCTGGGTAAAAATGAATATCCAGATCCTGAATCGACTTCGAATCTTACCACCTTGCCTTCTATAGAAATATCAGCATAGTATCGTTGTGCATCTGTATATTCATTCTGGTACACATCCACAATTTTAAAAATTCCGTACTCGGGATCTGCACTTTGAACTTGATTTGTGGTGTTCGAAAACTTTTTATTTTGTCCGGCATTAGGACCATCCGCCAAAAGAGTAGCTATGCATACTTTAGCCACATGACCACGTTTACTGCATAAGTTACATTTAAGATTTTTACTAGATCGACATTCTCTCGCATAATGATTATTTTTACCACAATGTAAACATAACCCGGCAATTCCTAATTGCGCATAATTGATTTTACCTGATCGTACAGTTTCAGGCCTTTTGAATTTCGCTTTGTGGGGCTTGTTTTTGCTGAAAATTTTGTTTATGTCAACAGAACTGTTGACTTTTGACAATTCCCTAGCATCCACCTTAGCTGCCTCCAATGCCAATGCTTTTAAAACAATTTCTTCGAATTCCGCAGAACTTGTTTGGAGAAGTTGTTCCCGAATACCGTTGTCGTGTATACCTCGGATAAACTGTGCCCTTAGAAAAACATTAGCAATGGAAATTCCACATTCGCACGGGGAGACAAATTCGCATGCATCAATCTCTGCACGAAGAGATGCCACAAATTCGGCTACAGACTGTCCTTCTCTCTGGTAAATCGATAAGAATTTGTGTTGAGCAACCAATACACTTCTTTTGGGAGCCAAATGATCTCCCAAAATCTTTAGCAGCTCGTCGTACTTCAGCTGTGATGTATGCTTTGGTGCCGCCAACGCAGTAACCATGTTAAAATATTTCGACCCGATTGAATTAAGGAGTAACATTGCACAGTACGCCTTATTTTCATGCACACCTTTCATGGTTATGTAATTCGAAAACCTTTCGATGTAATTTTGGTATGTTTCCTTCGTTGTGTCAAACATATCAAAATTGGGTACTAACGCTGTGTTGATGCTGTTGTTGCTGCTACTGCCCTGATTTCCCTGTGGCGCACTACCACCTGTTGTTAATCTCGCCAGTTGCGCAACCAACGCTTCCTGCGTTTTCAAAAAGGCTTGAAATTGTGTGGAATCCATCGTCTTATACTTTGTTGAAATATTAACCTTGCACTTGGCTAATTTTAATTTGATCAATCTTGTTTTACTCTCGTCGCCAAATTGTTGTATTCGTGGGAACGATGGTTGAGTTAAAAATGCGGCACGCTTGCTTATTTTAAGAATTACTTTATTTAACAAAAGCTTAAGACATACTAATACAAAATGGTGTCAATCTGTACACATGGAGATGGTAAAAAGAGAATGATGAAATTACAACGTATGAGTGTATGTATGTTATGCAGATGACATGAAAGAATAATAACAATGACATATGAAAGTGTAATAATGATATGGTTGCCATCTCTATATAAATAGTTACAACAAAATGTATGCAACGATAGATCAGTAACTAACGAAGTAGATACAAATCTTGTTCATGATGATATCAGTAGGGATGAACTTTTATTGGAAAATAATAATAGCAAAGAAAATGAGGAAACATATGTAACGAAAAGAGGTAGAGAGGTTAAGAAGCCAAAAAGGTTTAATGAAGAATACTAAATTTTATCATTAACATTAAATATAATATATTATGTTATATAATAATTGTTCATGTGTAAAAGGGAGATGTTGTATGTATATATAAATATTTGTAAGAGTATATGTAATGCATAAGCATTACATATACTCACAACAATTACTACTTTAGTCTTAAAACATTTTATGTAATTTTATAATCAAAGTTACCTTTGTCATTTCTTACTTAACGTCAATGAATATTGAAAATATATGAATTCATTCTGTTGTACACACTTATTGGAAATATACGTTCTTATTTAACAGGGACAAATTGGTTTGTTTTGACAAATCAGCTGATTAGTTGCAAGCTTCTGCAGGAATACCGTCTGTTTACTTTTCACAATTTCCTTGCAAAAGAGAATAAATCTAACTTACTCTCTCAGAAAGTTGTTGCTGGACAATTCCTGCAGGGAAAGTAACCAGACACACCTAATCATTTGCAACTCTTCTTCTGCTCATTCATCGACATTCAATAAGATGTTTTCTACTATTTGTTTTTTTTTCTTTTTGTGCTTTCAATTTGAAAATATTTATTTGGAATTAGCAAGACCAATTGTTTTTAGAGAACAACTTTACAAAATGTGAAAAACTTAAATATTTATATGTAATAAAAAATAAAAGACTATTTCCAAAAATTTTAGCCCAGCGCCATTAGCAAAACGTTTAAAGAATTCAGGGGAACACATCAAATATATCTTTTTTTTCATATTTTTATTTTATTGCTAATTTCCTTTTTATTTATAAAACTTTTAAAATTGGTGGTGCTTCCTTTCTTTTAATGGGGGACAAATTGGTTTGTTTTGACAAAACTGCCGATTAGTTGCAAGCTTCTGCAAAAATACCGTTTGTTTACTTTTCGTACTTTCCTTGCAAAAGAGAATAAACTACCTCTCAGAAAGATGTTGCTGGACAATTCCTGCAGGAAAAGTAAAAGCTTCGAAAAATAAAAGCGATAATAGCAAAGTTATCGTAGTTCTTAAAATTTTAAAATGAAGAAAAATGAAAAACTGCTATTTCTATTTGAAACAATTCTAACAAAAATCGGTCATAGCCTCGAGACTGCATATTACTTATTATTAGTTATTAGTCGACATACGATTATGAAATGTCAAATTTTCCATATGTGGAAGTGATACATAGACCAAGATCATGAGTTAATGGGATAAAAATTTTGTTTTCTTGGGAGCAAAAAAAAAATATATATTTTTTTCAAATATAAGTATATTTTTATATGTTTTCTTATACGACCTCATTCAGAGCTTATTATAATTCGCGTTTTTCAACAATTTTTGCAAATTTAAATAATTTTTCATTTAATATTTTTAATTCCAAAATTGGTTTGACAGCTCATTGTCCCAGCAGCTGTGTCGATACGTTTACCTTTATTCTTCTACCATGAACCTAATTCTGAGAGCCAAGGTAGATGTACTAGGTAATCGCATCAGCCCAGCTGATGGCACCATTAAATGTCAAAACAAATTGTTGTAATGAATAATTCGCCCTAAATGAATGCAACAACAAATTTGTTTATTTGTCTTCCCTAGAAGTACCTTTTTATAATATTTCAAATAATTTAAGAGCAAGTTAAGAGTGAAACTAGTAAAAAAATTAAAAGAAAATGAAGGAAGGAGGTTAGAATGGAGTGCAGCTTTAAGAATTAAGTTAGCCTCAACATCTAAGATTCCCAAAGCACATCACGGGAAGTAGTGCAAGAATTCGACTCTTGTCATTTGCAGTTCCGGAAAACTTTCGGTTTTAACCAGTAAAATATAGTCATTATAAGTTTCTTGGTTTAAAAAATATCGCAATACTACAATTAATACTTATTTTACTCCTATTTAAACTTTTATTGCGACGTTCGTTTACGACGAGAGGCACACAAAATAAAATGTAAACAAACATCTCGATTCTGATTGGTTGAAACAAATTTGCCGCAACCTTTAAATGTCATGGCGAATCTATGTTTTTCGCCTTAGATGCCAATTTTGACATTTGAGGGGACCACAAAAGTTGCTTTGTTGTAGCAATTCGCCGATGCGGTTACCTGTTAGATCTACCTTGCTGAGAGCGAACAACGTGATTGAAAGTGCAAAGAGAACATAGCATAAGGTAGAGCTACCATCTGATTACATCAGTGCCCGACTTCTGCCAATTTTGTGTATGTATTTATTGTTTTGAAAAATAAAAACAAAGTTTTTTCAAAATCAAGGATTGGAAGAAACTTAAATTGCGGGGCGCGCATTTATGATATTAACCAGATTTGCCACGGAATTGAAAGATTGAACGCTTCGGATCATATTTTTGAAAGATTCATTCATTCATCCATTCATCGTTCGCGCTATTTGACTCATTTTAAAAATAAACAAAAAATATCAAATAAATGAAAACAACTTGTCTGACAGGAAGCGGGCATAGCATGGTAGAATAATATAGGTAGACGCATCGACTCAGCTGCTGGGACAATAAACTGTCAAACCAATTTTGGAATTGAAAATGTTGAATGAAAAATTATTTCAATTTGTAAAAATTGTTGAAAAACGCGTATTATAATAACCTCCGAATGACGTCGTATGAGAAAACATATAAAAATCTAATTATATTTGAAAAGACATTTAAAATATTTTGACATATCAATGTTCCCAAGCGTTTATGCATTTACCTGTATTTTTCTACCAAGGGCATAGCCTCAGGCCTGTATTTCTGTAGTTTTACGAAGCTGTTCTATTGTACCATGAAAAAACTATAAACATGTAAATTCTTGTGATTGCATGATTTACATTCCTAATTCTAAGATGGAGGTATTTTGTATAAAATGCAGATGGATGATTTTATTTGTTTATTTCTCTTCTTCTGGAATTTGCAGTGAAAATAAAAGCCAGAGAGCAACTATCTTACACTCACCTCTATGCGACGCGTTTCGCCGTTGGTTGTTGATTTAATTTTATGTTTCATAACCGAAAGCAATAAGGCTCATAAATTCATTATGTTCATTATTTATGACAGCCATTAAAATTTATAAACTAAAAAAATCAGTAGCAAACAATGAAAACAAAGTTGTTATTTACTTTTATGATATGTTTGTCAATATTGGTTTAATTTCTTTTATTATTAAATAAGTTCTGATGTTTTGTGTGTATAATAAACTTTAGACGATTTTTTTCTTTGGTTTGGTTATTCAATAATACATACATGCTACATACATACTTGGATAACAATTACAAATTACTCAACAAACTTTGTCCTAATCCAAAATGAAAAAAAGAATAAAACAGCTTTCCTTCTTTCCACCCTCCCTTCGCCTTACAATCTTCCCCTTCCATTGCATTGGCTGTTTCTTCTTTACTCTTTGGGGGTATCAACGAGCCAAAAAGTTTCCATTTCACCTTTACCTTTGACCTTGACATGACCGCGTGAGACAACTTTATAACCCACCTCACGCACTTTCTTGGCTGTATTGAAGGAGAGATGTATTTTAAATGGTTCGCTGGTGCTTTCCATGCGTGATGCAGTATTGACAGTGTCACCAAAGAGACAATAGCGCGGCACCTTTAATCCCACCACACCGGCCACCACGGGTCCCGAATTTATGCCAATGCGTATGGAGAGATCTGGTATTTGTAGAGCCTTTACCTTTTTGATAAGCCTTAAAGCAAGATCACAGGCATGTTCTGCATGCAGGGGATTAACATCGGGAGCGCCCGACACAGCCATATAAACCATACCCACCGTTTCAACTTTGTACACAAAGGGAGATATGATTTCCTCATCAATGGCTGTGAAAACTTTATTCAAAGTGGTGACAGCCAACATGGCATCTTCCAGCTTATTCGAATCTCCATTATAGATATTCATAACTTCGATGAAAATAACTGAAACCTCATCAAAGGATTGGCAGGTGGCCTCTTCGCCATTACGCATACGTTCGGCAATGGGTCTGGGTATCATGGAGTAGAGCAACTCATCACCTTGTTTCTTCCAGGAATCGGCCAGATCCAAGGATTTTTCCAATTCATCGGAACGCATTTCTTCTTTTTCGAACATTATTTCCAATTTGGAACAGTGTTGCCACCCTGCCATAACTAATTCACGACTCAGGCCGTGGGGATTTAAATCGTTGATATACAATCCAATGCCATGCAGCTCATCCAAATTCTCTATGAGAGGACTGCACAGGAATATCAGCGAATCCAGATCTTTCATGTAGAACATTTGACCTTTAATCAAAATCGATTTGAAGAAATGTGACTCTTTGCGCTCTCCCGTCGCCTCATCAATTTCATCCTCATTTTCTTCATTCTCCTCCTCGGAGCGTCTCATTGTGGCACTGGCCTCGGAGAATTCCATTTCATCGAAATTTTCAAAATCCATTTTCATGGCCGCATCATAGGCTGCCTTGTTTCGGCCCGTGCGCAGCAATTCGAATTCGAACAACACCGTTCTCATTTGTATCAGGGTATCCCATTCGATTTTGGTGCCCTTGGGACGGCGACATTCGAACAAGTCCATAACATGAGAACCTATGAAACTCTTGGGATTCTTGCCGGGATTGTGTAATATCCAGGTTTCAACAATTTTCTCTCCCGCATGGGTAATACACATGTCATGGTCCAGAACTATGGTGAATGGAAACAAATCCAAAAACACACTCATATTTATGGGAGGCAAACTTAAATGCGAAGGATGGGCCGTTACATTGACACGCTTGGCCATATAATCACGATTATCAAAGTCCAAACGATATTTCACAATCACCGTCAATGGAGTATCCGATAATTTGATCGGCCCTGCCGTCCCTCCAGCTATGTCATTTTGGGATTCCAAAACATATGCCTTAATGTCCAGGCCATAGAATTCCTTAGCCACCTCCGCCATTTGGCCCATCAAATATTTGGACATACCCGTACGGCCGCTACGATACACAATCACCGCACCATCATTGTCTATATGGGTCAACTGCATCGAGGGTGATTTCATTTTCGGATAGGTGAAACGCATTTGCAAATGGATATTATCGATGGATTGCAAGAAATCACAATAATACCTTCCCGTCGAACGTATCATCTTATCGTAGCCAAAGTTACTAAAGAAACGCACAAAACATTTGCCAAAGAAGTTCATAAAGTAATCGAAAGTTTCGCCTGTGCATGCGGCCAATGCTGCGGCAAAGTCAGGCATCAATTTATCGGGATATATTTGATGGGTCTTAAATGAACTGTGCTTACAGTCGACAATGTGGCAGACTCGCTTCCACACCTCCTGGCCATATTCCTTTTGGACATAAAAGGCAACACTCTCATATAACATGCCATACATTTTCGTATAACGGTAATTTGATTTGCTTCCTTATGTGAATATATATGTAAGTGTGTGTGTGTGTTGTTGCTGGGAGAGAGCCCTTTATCTTTGTTGTCGAGATGAGAGTATGTGGTGGTGAGTAGAGTAGAGAAGATTAGTTGGTTTGTGGAATAACGGCAGACAAACTGAAATGAAATGACAGTAAAGAGCAAATAATTAAAGACGTTAATTTCAAGTTGCAAAATGATTATCAAAAAAAGGTTTTATAGGGTTTATCCTTGGTAAAATAAAGAAGGTAACGTCATTTCAAATAAGAATATGCATTTCTGCGGTTTTGGACTGCTTGTTTCTGCTTATTGTAATAATGCTGTAGAACACCATTATAGGGTGAGATAAAAAAACTGTAAAAAAGTCAGTCGCCATAATTTTTACATTTTTTTAACTTTATTTAAAGGAAAGCAACAAATGTCGGAATTAGCATCAAATTTTATAATACGTTTAGATTTTTTCGAATTAGTCACCTTTGGCACGAATTATGACCTTCAAACGGCCAATGAAACCGTCACTCGCTGCCCGAATATTGCTCCGCGGAATTTTGGACCAATCCCGGCGAAGCGCTTGCTTGAGGTGATCGACACTTTGGTATTTATTAATGCCAACCTTGCTTTTCAAAATACTCCAGACACAATAGTCCAACGGATTGGTATCCGGAGATTTTGGTGGCCATTGTGCGCTGGAAATGAAGCGAGGAAACTCATTTTGTAACAATTCTTGGGTGGCGCGTGCTAAGTGCGATGGTGCTGAGTCCTATGGAATGTCCAAGGTCTGCGGCCAAAATGTTTGCGTGCCCAAGGCTTTAATACACCCTCCAGAATATTTTCGCGATAATATTCGGCATTTATTCTGATATCACGGTCGATTAATACAAGCGGAGAGCGACCATCCGCTGATATGGCGGCCCCTTGCTTTCCAAAATACTCCAGACACAATAGTCCAACGGATTGGTATCCGGAGATTTTGGTGGCCATTGTGCGCTGGAAATGAAGCGAGGAAACTCATTTTGTAACAATTCTTGGGTGCGCGTGCTAAGTGCGATGGTGCTGAGTCCTATGGAATGTCCAAGGTCTGCGGCCAAAATGTTTGCGTGCCCAAGGCTTTAATACACCCTCCAGAATATTTTCGCGATAATATTCGGCATTTATTCTGATGCCACGGTCGATTAATACGAGCGGAGAGCGACCATCGTCTGTTATGGCGGCCTACACCAAGTAAACACAAGTAAACACGATCATTTTGTTTGTTTACAAACTGCTGAACAACGAATGTTTTTTCAACGGAGAAAACAAAATTCGGCAGTTTACCACTTTCGGCCAACTCTTTAGCTCTTTTGAGTCTATATTTTTTATTCTGTTGCGGTGTAAGTTCTTGCCCTTTTTCGAATTTCAATGGCTTTACCCCGAGTTCACTGTTCAATATTTGCCGAATGGAATATTGCGATAGGTTCAGCTCACGAGAAATTTTTCGGCCACAGCGACGCGTTTTTCGATCAAGTCGCTTCTTTACTCTTCGAACAATTTCTGCTGATGTTGCTGTTTTCTTCCGTCCACTTCCTTGACATCTGGCTACGTTACCAGTATCATGGTAACGAGCGATGGTACGAGACACAAAAGTTTTTTTCACATTTAAATGCTGGAGTACTCTAACGATAGCCACTTGTGGTTTTCCAGCCAAATAAAAAGAAATCACACTACCACGCTTGAATTCCATCACGATTAATTTTTTTTCTGGAAAATTCTCACCAAAATGCTTCTGTACGCTTGTAAATAATATAATGAGCTGTCACTGGAATAATTTTAACATCTGTCGGACGACTGTCTTTTAAATGACAGTAGTCTGAAGTTGGTTGCAGTTTTTTTCATTTCACCCTGCATATACTTATTTCGAGGAGTTAAGAAATCATATCTCTTTGCTAAAAGTTGCCCCCAAACTTTTCCATCTAACTGTAGCATAACCACAACAAAACTTCATGGGCTTCTTCAATATGTGTGCTGGTGTATGTATGTCTGTGGTTACGATTGTAATGTTTGTTAGATGGTGTCCGTGTAACGGGGTTTCCTTGTCAGAAAATATGTACTTATGTGCCACTCATTGTGTGTGTGTGTGCGTGTTTGTTTAGGAACATCACTGTGTGTGTTTGTTTGTGTTGCAACCTATGCCTTACGGTCTTTGATAAAAGCCTTTAAAAGATAAAATCGTGGTAAATACGAAGAGAAAGAAGAAAACAGACACACACACACAAAACAACGAAAGAAGTCATCTCGATTTAAATTTGATTTATTACTTGATTGCTTCTCAATGTCGTTGTTTTGCATAGAAATGTTATTACATTTGATTGTATGTGTTTGTTGGGGCTTCGCGTGTGCTTCTCATTCTTACCCAGTGAACAAAAAAAAGGAAAACAGTTAGAGGAGATTCTGAGAATTTAAAATTTAACGAAACATTAACTGTAATTTAAAGTAGCTTATAATGTTTTGTTGACTTAGGGGCTTTTTGTAATGGGATTTTGTGGAATTTTTTCAATGCCTTAGAAAGTTAAAAAAATAATTTAATTTATGTTAAGTCTCTGTTTGTATTCTCAGCACTGGATAATATTTGAATTATTATAAAAAAACAATTGTGGAAGGACTATAGCAATAAAAGAGAATTTACTACTACTACTAGGTTATTCTATAAATTAAACAATTAAACACCATTTGGGCAACGTTAACCACTTCCAATTTAAAGAAAACATCGATGACAAGTTTACGTTAGAGCTGTATTTCGGATTAACCCTCTTTATGAAGATTTATTTAATGAAGATTTGGATTTTCTAAATTCTTTACAACGTAAACGTACTATGATAGCTCGTTTATATTATTAAAGATTAACCAGTTGGGTTTAATAGATCCAGTCGGTTAAACTTGTGTGTTTTCATAAACCCCTATGAAGATATCATAGTAGAAGAGTACAGGTAGATGCATCAACGCTTAGGAACATATGGTACAATAAAAAGGTAAGGTAGAGCTACCAGCTGATTACAAATTTTTTCTGAGTGTGCCCAACTTCCGCCAATTTTGTGTATGTATTTATCGTTTTGAAAAATAAAAAAAATATTTTCAAAATCAATGATTGAAAGAAACGTAGCGCTTTGAAGATATTAACCAGTCTGCCATGGAATTGAAAGATTTGACACTCTGGATTATATTTTTGAAATAATATCCAGGCACTTCATTCATCTATCGCTTTAATTTAAGTCATTCAAAAAAAAAGTGAAATAAATAAAAACAACATATAATTTCGAATAATTCTGACAGGAAGCGGGCATAGTCTCAGAGCTGTATTTCTGTAGTTTTAGGAAGTTGTTCTACCTCCTTATTGTACTATGTGGGAAAATTGATATGTCAAATATATTAAAATGGTTTTCAAAAATAAGTAGATTTTTATATGTATTCTTATACTACGACAATCGGAGGTTGTTATGTTATGCATTTTCAACAATTTTTCCAAAGTTGGTTTGATAGTTCAAAATGAACTAGCAGCTGTTTCGATGCGACCACCTGTACTCTTCTACTATGAAGGATATACAGGGTGAGATGAAAAAACTGCAACCAATTTCAGACAGCTGTCATTTTTAAGCCCCCTTTCCGACAGCTGTTAAAATTATTCCAGTGACAGTTCATTATATTGTTTACAAGCGTACTGTTTAGTTTTGTAGAAACTGTACATGTTGTAAAAATAGTTTGTGTGTTGAATGTTCCTCTTTAAATTCTTATCTCATTTTTATTTGTCTTTTCCGAAGAATGTAAATTAGTTAAATAAAGAAAACACTTAAGATGCATGTGTTTTCCATATGCTAGGTTTATGGTCGGTAATAAATAATGTAATAAATGTCACGGCCATAAATAGAAGATAAGAAAGAGTCGATTACAAATTAGGTACGTTTCGTTTTCTCCCGCAACGTATTGTGTGCGTTAATGCACAGCGTGCATTAGTAAATAAAATGCATATGTTAATGTATTAGATGTAAGCTTTAGTGTTAAGAATATGTTGTAAATAAATTGAGTTCCCTTCCAGCCACGGAACGAGAAAGATCATCTCGCGGCGTTTTTCTTTTTCTTTCGTTAGTTACATCGCTTTGTGATGAGGTTAGGAGTCGACCTCATCACGTACAAAAGCATTTAAATGTGAATAATACGTTATACTGGTACTGGTAGCGTAGACCGACGTCAAGGAAGTGGACGGAAGAAAACAGCAACATCAGCAGAAATGGTACGAAAAGTGAAGAAGCGACTTTATCGAAACCCGCGTCGCAGTGGCCGAAAAATGGCTCCTGAGCTGAACATATCGCAATATTCCATTTGGCAAATATTGAAAAATGAGCTCGGGGTAAAGCCATTGAAATTCCAAAAAGTGTAAGACTTACTCCGCAACAGAAAGAACAGAAAATAGAATCAAAAGAGCTAAAGAGTTGCTTCGCTTGGCCGAAAGTGGTTAACTGCCGAATTTGGTTTTCTCCAATGAGAAAACATTCGTTGTCCAGCAGTTTGTAAACAAACAAAATGATCGTGTTTACTTGCCAAAGAGGTCAGCTGAAAATGTGCACCTTCGGTTGGCCATCAGAACTCAAGCGCCGGCCATGGTGATGGTGTGGCCACTCTCCGCTCGTATTAATCGACCATCAGAATAAATGCCGAATATTATCGCGAAAATATTCTGGAGGGTGTATTAAAGCCTTGGGCACGCAAACATTTTGGCCGCAGACCTTGGACATTCCAACAGGACTCAGCATCATTGCACTCAGCCCACGCCACCCAAGAATGGTGGTTCATCGCTTCATTTCCAGCGCACAATGACCACCAAAATCTCCGGATACTAATCCGTTGGACTATTGTGTCTGGAGTATTTTGGAAAGCAAAGTTAGCACTAAAAAATACCAAAGTGTCGAGTGGGCCAAAATACCTCAGAGCAACATTCGGGCAGCGTGTGACGGTTTCATTGGCCGATTAAAGGCCATAATTGGTGCCAAAGGTGACCAATTTGAACAAATCTAAACTTATTCTAAAATTTGATGCTATTTCCGACATTTTTTGCTTTCATTCAATAAAATTTAAAAAAAATTAAAAATTTTTTATCTCACCCT